ACTACCATCCCAACATCAAACATGAAACACCTTTACACCTATAGATCATAGTCAATACTTTGTTTTGGACTACACTCTCGCCATGAGACACACAAGAGTGACATTAGACTCACCGGACAAAAATATCTTCGCATAGTTATGTCACTCCTTCAAAAGTATGTATTCACCATCAATCCAAGCAAATGCTAACTCGGCTACACGAAAGTAACTTTCTATAATTAAATCATAGATGAACATAGAGTTCGCCCACCGGTGAAGCTGGTAACACCATGAAGGAGATTTTGTTGCTAAAGACGGTTGGCACTGCAACCACTTGATGTTTATTCTCATGAATTGGCCCAGGCCAAAATAAAATATAACCGAGGACTACTAGCCATTTAGGTAGCTACCCGTTATCAAAGCGGATGTTTGCATTCACACAGAAAGCCGAGAAAGCATCACCACTCCAATGCCGTCATCTGGACCATTTCTCGTAGTTCCCCGCCAACATCCTGATGGTCTCTTTAGCTCAAATGCAATTTTAATGGTGCTAAAGGCTTTGTAGGTAGTGGGTTCTAAGCTTTAACGTAACATCGCCACGGCATACCAACCTCTGCTTTCTGTTACTGTTTGACGATGATCGCTGATTTACATGATGGCCTAATGGCAGTGCCATTAAAATCGATATTGACGGAGTCTGTTTCCGCTGCATTTTAGTCTTAGAGTTTGAGTAAGCTTTGCTCTGGACCATTCTGAAGATTAATATCAACATGTGGAAGATATACAAACACCTGCGGCAGAATTTGTGCATTAAAAATGGTTAAGGTTCCCAAATGATTTCTACAATGATTTGAACAAGTCTCTTCACCCAGGGTTTTTTCGCGGAAATTTTCGAAAGCACATGCGTTTGATTCGCCCACTTCAACGTCTTCCCGATTAGATCACTGGAAAGAGGTAGCTGTGACAGCAACCAGCGCCACCTAGCGGCCAAAAGCTTGCTATCGCCTTCTGCGATAACAATCGCCATGAAGTGGATGGCATGCTTCGTTTATGCTTTCAAATCAAAATTTGGACATTTGATCAGTTTTAACACATTGAACCCATTACACACGTAACACAATACCTAACAACCACAGAATACAAAAAAAATTAAAATAAAAATAATAATATAAAAAAAATCAATAAAATAATATAAATAAAAAAATATAATATAATATAATAAAAAAATAACAATAATAAAATTAGAGAAATAATATATAATATAATATTAACTTGAAAAGGTATGAAGCGTGTTTATGACGATACTTATGTGCCGAAATATCTCAGTGGGAAATGGTCGTGGGACAAAAAGCTCGACCGTCTCCACTTTGAGCCTCATCGCGACTTGGTCGATAAGAAGGAGCGCTATATGGAGACAAATGGATATAAATTCTTGCTGCTTAACCAGGAAGAGGAGGTGATATTTCGGCAGGAATTTATGCGTGGTGACAACACTTTCGATACGGACACAGTGGTAATCAACGATGTACGTGATCTGGTGCTCTTTTTGATGCCCGGCGATTTTCTGACTGCCAAGTTCATCGAGTTTATTCACAAACCCGCTGTGCATAGATTATTGCATGCTTTGATCATCTACTTCGAATACTTTTTGCGAATGGTTGAATTCGTGCTAATTCGACGAGATGAGCTTGCTGGGAACATGGCCCAGATACAAAGTGAGCAAACGAATGATATGAAGCGCATATTCTCGATCTACTTGAGTCAGTATCGAATGCTAGTGGCTCGCAACTATAGCGCAATTCTGAAGGGCGAAGGGGATATGTCACAGTTCTATCATATGAAGGAGATAGTTAATATATCTTCCACGATCCACGATAAATATTTTCATGAGCAATTCCTGGCCGTTGCGATACAGATCGTATGGATCACCTTGCACAGACGCGCCTACTATGTAATTGAGATGGAAATGAATAGACTATTTCGTTCGGAGCACTTTACGAGCAACCGCGCGGAATATTTGAAATTTACACCATTAGAAGTTAGTCTACTATATGGGCGCAACAATCGCCTTGTCAACTATCGTAGCCAGATATCCCCATTGATTCAGGAGCTTGAGCATGTGCCTGAGGAGGATTTACCTATTTTATGGATAGGTGAGCGCAAGTATCGGGGTACAGACACCCGTATTGTTGAGATTGAACTGGAATATATTGTACCTGGACCGCAGTTGTTTATGATCGATGTGACTCATGGGATATTGGGGCATCCGAAGATATTGTATGATACCCTCTTAAACTTATATTGGCCTGCGGTACGGTTCGCCAACTTTTCAACGGAGTACGATCCGTATCAGATCGTGCGACAGCCGTGTCTAAGGCTGCCCAACATTGATGAGAATAAAATTCGTAAAATGTCCAGCAAATACGATCAATTCTTTAAGGTCTTTCGCATCTATGAGCCGTTCAGCTTTCATATGCTCATGAAGTGGATTAGACGCGATAAACTTATCAAGTATTACCGTACTGGCGGCGTTTTAAAGGACATTTATCTGCGCTGCACAAAGGATCTGAACAACTTACGATATGGCCCCGGAGTGGACACCATTATTAGCAAATACTTCAAGCTTATTGCTAGAACTCGAAAGCACTCCAACGTTCACTATGATAATCGATCAAGCGTAGGTACCATATCTAATTTGAGCATGCAAAAAGAACGGAAAAAGCCATTGCCAGACGATCACTTCTTTGAAGAATAAAATATGAAGCTAATTCAACTAATTCCTTTTATTTAATACCAAAAAATAATAACCAGTGTGCTATTCATTTGGTACTACTTTAGATAAGGATTTTGGATTAACAAGGAACATTCTCCTTACAACTAAATATCGGCTCCAAAAATAAAATTGTATCGTGAGTAACAGCATAGAGCTCTGTCGCGCAGACCCCTTGAAGAGAAAGGACTCAAGCTTGTAGATAAAGAGAGCATAAAACAAGAACGTGTGATCTAGTCGAGGCTGCGCAACTAGGAGATACCCTCGTTGCTAAATGCTAACTTTTAATTGATCAATACATGTTTGATCCTCTGGAATGGTGTCCACCGATCTTGACATTATGCATGGATGTACGGATGTATGTGCCGATACATATGGAAGGGGATATGTACGTACATATATATGTATATATGTGGACATATATATGCACTGGCAACGTGCTTATATGCTTAGTGATTTTATGTATTGATTTTTTGTAGTTTCGTAGATGACGCGACTGAAAAGGTAGTTTACATTGTGGCATGCATGTAGTGGTAGATGAGTAGTACTACCCAAACTCAATTGTTGAACAACTTCACCTTATGAAAATAAATCAAATATGCAAAATCTGCATTTATTACAATAAATTGGATGCTTCCAAGCTTTGTGGTATTCACGTTACGATTAAATAAGAAAGCTCTAGTCGGGGTGCCCGACTAGCAGATACCCTGATCCCAGTCCGATCTGCGTTTTTTAATATTTTCCGTGGTTTGTATCGAGTATTCAAAAAAAAGAAAACAAATAAAAAACGACATTACGAGACCAGGATTCGAACCCGAATTGTTTGCGCAACGTACACCAACTCTACCACCGTGGTGTAAAGTGAATAAAAGAAGTGAGAACAAGTGCAGTTGAGGAGTCTGATTAGTTTTGTGAATCGAGTTCTATTTTGATACCCTATTTAACATTGTAGTATAGTCTTCAGTCGGCCGATGTGTTAACACAGCTTCTACATGAAACCATTTTGAATAGGGCAACACTACAATGGCAGCAACCTAAACTACCATCCCAACATCAAACATGAAACACCTTTACACCTATAGATCATAGTCAATACTTTGTTTTGGACTACACTCTCGCCATGAGACACACAAGAGTGACATTAGACTCACCGGACAAAAATATCTTCGCATAGTTATGTCACTCCTTCAAAAGTATGTATTCACCATCAATCCAAGCAAATGCTAACTCGGCTACACGAAAGTAACTTTCTATAATTAAATCATAGATGAACATAGAGTTCGCCCACCGGTGAAGCTGGTAACACCATGAAGGAGATTTTGTTGCTAAAGACGGTTGGCACTGCAACCACTTGATGTTTATTCTCATGAATTGGCCCAGGCCAAAATAAAATATAACCGAGGACTACTAGCCATTTAGGTAGCTACCCGTTATCAAAGCGGATGTTTGCATTCACACAGAAAGCCGAGAAAGCATCACCACTCCAATGCCGTCATCTGGACCATTTCTCGTAGTTCCCCGCCAACATCCTGATGGTCTCTTTAGCTCAAATGCAATTTTAATGGTGCTAAAGGCTTTGTAGGTAGTGGGTTCTAAGCTTTAATGTAACATCGCCACGGCATACCAACCTCTGCTTTCTGTTACTGTTTGACGATGATCGCTGATTTACATGATGGCCTAATGGCAGTGCCATTAAAATCGATATTGGCGGAGTCTGTTTCCGCTGCATTTTAGTCTTAGAGTTTGAGTAAGCTTTGCTCTGGACCATTCTGAAGATTAATATCAACATGTGGAAGATATACAAACACCTGCGGCAGAATTTGTGCATTAAAAATGGTTAAGGTTCCCAAATGATTTCTACAATGATTTGAACAAGTCTATTCACCCAGGGTTTTTTCGCGGAAATTTTCGAAAGCACATGCGTTTGATTCGCCCACTTTAACGTCTTCCCGATTAGATCACTGGAAAGAGGTAGCTGTGACAGCAACCAGCGCCACCTAGCGGTCAAAAGCTTGCTATCGCCTTCTGCGATAACAATCGCCATGAAGTGGATGGCATGCTTCGTTTATGCTTTCAAATCAAAATTTGGACATTTGATCAGTTTTAACACATTGAACCCATTACACACGTAACAAAATACCTAACAACCACAGAATACAAAAAAAATTAAAATAAAAATAATAATATAAAAAAAATCAATAAAATAATATAAATAAAAAAATATAATATAATAAAAAAAATAACAATAATAAAATAAGAGAAATAATATATAATATAATATTAACTTGAAAAGGTATGAAGCGTGTTTATGACGATACTTATGTGCCGAAATATCTCAGTGGGAAATGGTCGTGGGACAAAAAGCTCGACCGTCTCCACTTTGAGCCTCATCGCGACTTGGTCGATAAGAAGGAGCGCTATATGGAGACAAATGGATATAAATTCTTGCTGACGATTAACCAGGAAGAGGAGGTGATATTTCGGCAGGAATTTATGCGTGGTGACAACACTTTCGATACGGACACAGTGGTAATCAACGATGTACGTGATCTGGTGCTCTTTTTGATGCCCGGCGATTTTCTGACTGCCAAGTTCATCGAGTTTATTCACAAACCCGCTGTGCATAGATTATTGCATGCTTTGATCATCTACTTCGAATACTTTTTGCGAATGGTTGAATTCGTGCTAATTCGACGAGATGATCTTGCTGGGAACATGGCCCAGATACAAAGTGAGCAAACGAATGATATGAAGCGCATATTCTCGATCTACTTGAGTCAGTATCGAATGCTAGTGGCTCGCAACTATAGCGCAATTCTGAAGGGCGAAGGGGATATGTCACAGTTCTATCATATGAAGGAGATAGTTAATATATCTTCCACGATCCACGATAAATATTTTCATGAGCAATTCCTGGCCGTTGCGATACAGATCGTATGGATCACCTTGCACAGACGCGCCTACTATGTAATTGAGATGGAAATGAATAGACTATTTCGTTCGGAGCACTTTACGAGCAACCGCGCGGAATATTTGAAATTTACACCATTAGAAGTTAGTCTACTATATGGGCGCAACAATCGCCTTGTCAACTATCGTAGCCAGATATCCCCATTGATTCAGGAGCTTGAGCATGTGCCTGAGGAGGATTTACCTATTTTATGGATAGGTGAGCGCAAGTATCGGGGTACAGACACCCGTATTGTTGAGATTGAACTGGAATATATTGTACCTGGACCGCAGTTGTTTATGATCGATGTGACTCATGGGATATTGGGGCATCCGAAGATATTGTATGATACCCTCTTAAACTTATATTGGCCTGCGGTACGGTTCGCCAACTTTTCAACGGAGTACGATCCGTATCAGATCGTGCGACAGCCGTGTCTAAGGCTGCCCAACATTGATGAGAATAAAATTCGTAAAATGTCCAGCAAATACGATCAATTCTTTAAGGTCTTTCGCATCTATGAGCCGTTCAGCTTTCATATGCTCATGAAGTGGATTAGACGCGATAAACTTATCAAGTATTACCGTACTGGCGGCGTTTTAGAGGACATTTATCTGCGCTGCACAAAGGATCTGAACAACTTACGATATGGCCCCGGAGTGGACACCATTATTAGCAAATACTTCAAGCTTATTGCTAGAACTCGAAAGCACTCCAACGTTCACTATGATAATCGATCAAGCGTAGGTACCATATCTAATTTGAGCATGCAAAAAGAACGGAAAAAGCCATTGCCAGACGATCACTTCTTTGAAGAATAAAATATGAAGCTAATTCAACTAATTCCTTTTATTTAATACCAAAAAATAATAACCAGTGTGCTATTCATTTGGTACTACTTTAGATAAGGATTTTGGATTAACAAGGAACATTCTCCTTACAACTAAATATCGGCTCCAAAAATAAAATTGTATCGTGAGTAACAGCATAGAGCTCTGTCGCGCAGACCCCTTGAAGAGAAAGGACTCAAGCTTGTAGATAAAGAGAGCATAAAACAAGAACGTGTGATCTAGTCGAGGCTGCGCAACTAGGAGATACCCTCGTTGCTAAATGCTAACTTTTAATTGATCAATACATGTTTGATCCTCTGGAATGGTGTCCACCGATCTTGACATTATGCATGGATGTACGGATGTATGTGCCGATACATATGGAAGGGGATATGTACGTACATATATATGTATATATGTGGACATATATATGCACTGGCAACGTGCTTATATGCTTAGTGATTTTATGTATTGATTTTTTGTAGTTTCGTAGATGACGCGACTGAAAAGGTAGTTTACATTGTGGCATGCATGTAGTGGTAGATGAGTAGTACTACCCAAACTCAATTGTTGAACAACTTCACCTTATGAAAATAAATCAAATATGCAAAATCTGCATTTATTACAATAAATTGGATGCTTCCAAGCTTTGTGGTATTCACGTTACGATTAAATAAGAAAGCTCTAGTCGGGGTGCCCGACTAGCAGATACCCTGATCCCAGTCCGATCTGCGTTTTTTAATATTTTCCGTGGTTTGTATCGACTATTCAAAAAAAAAAGAAAACAAATAAAAAACGACATTACGAGACCAGGATTCGAACCCGAATTGTTTGCGCAACGTACACCAACTCTACCACCGTGGTGTAAAGTGAATAAAAGAAGTGAGAACAAGTGCAGTTGAGGAGTCTGATTAGTTTTGTGAATCGAGTTCTATTTTGATACCCTATTTAACATTGTAGTATAGTCTTCAGTCGGCCAATGTGTTAACACAGCTTCTACATGAAACCATTTTGAATAGGGCAACACTACAATGGCAGCAACCTAAGCTACCACCCCAACATCAAACATGAAACACCTTTACACCTATAGATCATAGTCAATACTTTGTTTTGGACTACACTCTCGCCATGAGACACACAAGAGTGACATTAGACTCACCGGACAAAAATATCTTCGCATAGTTATGTCACTCCTTCAAAAGTATGTATTCACCATCAATCCAAGCAAATGCTAACTCGGCTACACGAAAGTAACTTTCTATAATTAAATCATAGATGAACATAGAGTTCGCCCACCGGTGAAGCTGGTAACACCATGAAGGAGATTTTGTTGCTAAAGACGGTTGGCACTGCAACCACTTGATGTTTATTCTCATGAATTGGCCCAGGCCAAAATGAAATATAACCGAGGACTACTAGCCATTTAGGTAGCTACCCGTTATCAAAGCGGATGTTTGCATTCACACAGAAAGCCGAGAAAGCATCACCACTCCAATGCCGTCATCTGGACCATTTCTCGTAGTTCCCCGCCAACATCCTGATGGTCTCTTTAGCTCAAATGCAATTTTAATGGTGCTAAAGGCTTTGTAGGTAGTGGGTTCTAAGCTTTAATGTAACATCGCCACGGCATACCAACCTCTGCTTTCTGTTACTGTTTGACGATGATCGCTGATTTACATGATGGCCTAATGGCAGTGCCATTAAAATCGATATTGGCGGAGTCTGTTTCCGCTGCATTTTAGTCTTAGAGACCAGTTTGAGTAAGCTTTGCTCTGGACCATTCTGAAGATTAATATCAAATGGGGAAGATATACAAACACCTGCGGCAGAATTTGTGCATTAAAAATGGTTAAGGTTCCCAAATGATTTCTACAATTATTTGAACAAGTCTATTCAAACAGGTTTTTTCGCCCACTACGACCTACAGCGTACCAGAAGAAGGTCTAATTCCTTCCCGATTAAATCACTGGGAAGGGGTAGCTGTGACAGCAACCAGCGCCACCTAGCGATCAAAAGCAATAAAAGTGGCAACGCTTTGGCAGTGTAGCTTTGAGAAAAATCTCCCATATTGACGAAAACAGGACATTCCCTACATGTGGTCTGTGACTGTCAATAGAATAATTATTCTGAAGTCTATATCGCTCGGTCGCAACATTGCTTAATTTAATAGAAGCCATCATTCATCGTTTTTTTTTAATGAACTTTCATTGTGTAAAACTTTCAGGGATTGCAGGGTTTTGCATGATAGTAATGATAGAGTATATGTATATTTGACCGATTTCAACATAAATTATGCATGTCTATTGCCTGTATAACCAACTCTAAGGTAAATAAGGCTTTCTTCCACCGATAATGCGACCTTAAACTAATCTGAACTAGAATGTTTGAAAAACAGCTTTTGCTTCGTTTATGCTTTCAAATCAAAATTTGGACATTTTATCTGTTCAGTTTTAACACATTATTGAGTCCATTACACACTTAACACAATACAAAACAAACACTGAACACGCAACAAAATTTTTAAAAACAAATTATAAAAATATATAAAAAAATATAATAAAATAATGTAATAAAATATAATATAATAAAAAAATAATATAATAATAAGATAAGAAAAAAAAATAAATTAAAAAGGTATGAAGCGTGTTTATGACGATACTTATGTGCCGAAATATCTCAGTGGGAAATGGTCGTGGGACGAAAAGCTCGACCGTCTCCACTTTGAGCCTCATCACGACTTGGTCGATAAGAAGGAGCGCTATATGGAGACAAATGGATATAAATTCTTGCTGACGATTAACCAGGAAGAGGAGGTGATATTTCGGCAGGAATTTATGCGTGGTGACAACACTTTCGATACGGACACAGTGGTAATCAACGATGTACGTGATCTGGTGCTCTTTTTGATGCCCGGCGATTTTCTGACTGCCAAGTTCATCGAGTTTATTCACAAACCCGCTGTGCATAGATTATTGCATGCTTTGATCATCTACTTCGAATACTTTTTGCGAATGGTTGAATTCGTGCTAATTCGACGAGATGAGCTTGCTGGGAACATGGCCCAGATACAAAGTGAGCAAACGAATGATATGAAGCGCATATTCTCGATCTACTTGAGTCAGTATCGAATGCTAGTGGCTCGCAACTATAGCGCAATTCTGAAGGGCGAAGGGGATATGTCACAGTTCTATCATATGAAGGAGATAGTTAATATATCTTCCACGATCCACGATAAATATTTTCATGAGCAATTCCTGGCTGTTGCGATACAGATCGTATGGATCACCTTGCACAGACGCGCCTACTATGTAATTGAGATGGAAATGAATAGACTATTTCGTTCGGAGCACTTTACGAGCAACCGCGCGGAATATTTGAAATTTACACCATTAGAAGTTAGTCTACTATATGGGCGCAACAATCGCCTTGTCAACTATCGTAGCCAGATATCCCCATTGATTCAGGAGCTTGAGCATGTACCTGAGGAGGATTTACCTATTTTATGGATAGGTGAGCGCAAGTATCGGGGTACAGACACCCGTATTGTTGAGATTGAACTGGAATATATTGTACCTGGACCGCAGTTGTTTATGATCGATGTGACTCATGGGATATTGGGGCATCCGAAGATATTGTATGATACCCTCTTAAACTTATATTGGCCTGCGGTACGGTTCGCCAACTTTTCAACGGTGTGCGATCCGTATCAAATCGTGCGACAGCCGTGTCTAAAGCTGCCCAACATTGATGAGAATAAAATTCGTAAAATGTCCAACAAATACGATCAATTCTTTAAGGTATTTCGCATCTATGAGCCGTTCAGCTTTCATATGCTCATGAAGTGGGTTAGACGCGATAGCCTGATCAAGTATTACCGTACTGGCGGCGTTTTAGAGGACATTTATCTGCGCTGCACAAAGGAGCTGAACAACTTACGATATGGCCCCGGAGTGGACGCCATTATTAGCAAATACTTCAAGCATATTGCTAGAACTCGAAAGTACGCCAACGTTAACTATGATAATCGATCAAGCGTAGGTACCTTATCTATTATGAGCATGCAAAAAGAACGGAAAAAGCCTTTGCCAGACGATCGCTTCTTTGAAGAATAAAATATGAAGCTAATGCAACTAATTTCTCCTATTTAATTTGAATGACATATTTATTATATAAAATTCTAAAGAAGCATAGAGTAATAGGTATAAAATATAAACGCATATACCAAAAAATAATAAGCAGTGTGCTATTCATTTGGTCCTACTTTAGATAATGATAAGGATTAACAATGAACATTCTCCTTACAACTAAATATCGGCTATATCTCGTTGCTAAAAGCTAACTAAGCTTGACATGCATGGATGAACGGATGTATGTGCCTTTATATATGGAAGGAGATATGTATGTACACATATATGTATATATGTGGACATATATATGCACTGGAAACGTGCTTATATGCTTAGTGATTTTATGTATTGATTTTTTGTTGTTTCGCAGATGGTGCGACTTAAAAGGTAGTTTACGTTGTGGCATGCATGCAGTGATAGATGAGTAGTACTACCCAAACTCAATTGTTGAAAATCTTTTCTTCAAAATGGCATTTAACTGAAGCAGAATTTCAATTTATGAAAATAAATCAAATATACAAAATCTGTATTTATTACAATAAAATTCCAACTTTTGTGGTATTCACGTTACGATTAAAAATGATATCGATCATCAAATTGCGTGGGAAATTAGTGTATAAATTTTCTATTGCAAACTACGGAGCACCGCGGTTAAGGGTATGTCCGAAATCTTAATTTTTCCGCATCCAAAAACTTTTTTGCTCACATACATACATACATACATATATTTATGTGCTAGCTTTTGAAATTCTAGCTGCCTGTCCAAATTGTAAAACATCAATTATTAGATAAGCATGGATAAGCCCTTGCATGATTTTTAGTTCTTAGTCGTCTCTCAGAAGCGTAAAATGAGACCTCTAGTGTAAATTCTTCTATTTTCCTTCACAAGATGTGCTAGATATTTCATCTATTCAGGGTATACCCCCAACTAAAGCTTTCTTACTGGTTTTCTTTATAAGACGAATCGCTCATTTTGAGGTCATGAATATATCGATAATTTTAGTCACTAGCTCACATGCATCGAATAACTAAGCACTGTAAAAGTTGAGTGGTTCATACGAACAATACAACACTACTGTAACAGAACCAGCTATCATCTACTAAAACCTTTTAAAGAGCTTAAAGAGATAGGTAATATTAATGTCGACGGAACTCGAATCTCGAACGGTTCCGCCGTATAATCACTTTACGCAAATCGGCGACCCTGTGTTGAGGATCCGCGCAGAGGAAGTTCAGCCTGAATGTGTAGACAGCCAGGAAATCACTGGCATTGTGGATCAGATGGTAAAAGTGCTACGGCACTACGACTGTGTGGGCGTTGCAGCACCCCAATTAGGTGTTCCACTGCGAATTATTGCCATGGAGTTTCGTGAGGAAAAACGTGAACAATTTACACCCGAAGTTTACCAGCAACGAAAAATGTCTACACTGCCACTTAGTGTAAGTCACAACTCTCTCGATTTGCATTAATAATTATCAATTTTATCTTTGAAGGTCTTTATTAATCCAAAGATTGAGGTAATGAGCGATACGATTCATACGCAACCCGAGGGCTGTATGAGCGTTCGCGGCTTCTCCGGCCGAGTTGCTCGATACGATCGCGTGAAAGTCACCGGCATTGGAATGCTTGGAACTCCTGATGAGCTGGAACTTGTAGGATGGAGCGCGCGCATAGCACAGCATGAAATGGATCATTTAAATGGAATCATTTACATTGACCGCATGGACGTTTCGAGCTTTACTTGCATTACCTGGGCACGCATTAATTCAAATGGTGGACGCGATGCAATAATGTTTGATAAATAAATATTTTACTGTTACAATTTTTTAAATTTGAACTCAACTGTTGGGTCACGCTCTGAACTTTTTCAGCACAACTATCGAATTTATTATTGCTCGGTTAAATATCGATTATTTTGCATGCCAGCCCTGGTTGAAATCAACTAGCACATTTATATTTTTATTAAATAAAGAAAAGGGAGACAAAATAAAATTATTATAGTTTTATTATTATTCAAATATTTATGTTAATAAATTAAGAATATAATAATTTGCAGTTATTAAATTTAAGGACATATTTTTCTCAAGAGTACCAGCAAAAGGAATCAACTTATTTAGTTCACTGTTACGTTTGCGCCGCGAACATAATTTATTGTTTATCTAACGTAGAAGATGTTAAAACTAATTAAATTCTGTCGACTTCATAAAAGGCAACTAAGCACCAGCCCTGCAGCCACTCAATCATTCAGGAAATGGTACCAACAGTTGTGGACAACAGAACGCACAAATCTACCGCCCTACAGCCATTTCACGCAGATCGGAGACCCCGTACTGCGCGACAGAGCTGCAGAAGTTCCTGTAGAATGTGTGGATAGTAAAGAGATTCACGCGATAGTGGATCGTCTGGTGCACGTCCTACGAAAATATGATTGTGTGGGCATTGCTGCACCTCAAATTGGCGTTTCCTTACGAATAATTGCCATGGAGTTTAAAAGGAGCATTAAAAATGAGCTTCCACAAGCGATGTACAAGGCGCGACAAATGTCCGAGCTGCCCTTGACCGTAACTAATAATATTAATAATATATATTCCATTTACTAATGCTTCTTGTCTACTCTCGCAGGTATTTATCAATCCCAGCCTGAGTGTGACAAACTATACCAAGCACAAACACCCAGAAGGTTGCATGAGTGTACGCGGATTCTCTGCTGAAGTGGAGCGTTATGAGGGTGTCAAAATTTCAGGATTAGACAAACAAGGAGCATCCTTCCACCTAGAACTCAATGGCTGGAACGCGCGCATTGCCCAGCATGAAATGGATCACTTAGATGGAAAATTATATACGGATCAAATGGATCGTTCCACATTTACATGCACCTGCTGGGAAACCGTGAATACAAAGTCTGGCCGTGTGGAAATACCTTTTTACAAATAAGATTTGTATGCAGTTTCCGCTAGTTAATAGATCTGTTGCTAAAAATTTATTTATACAAATAGAAATATTGTTTGTTGGCAACTGTTTTTCTGTTCATTTATCTGCGCTCATATACATTCTCAGATTGTGATTTGCCGTCCCCAGGGCTGTTTTTGCTTTGAAATACTCGGGACTGTCCCACAGATCACGCTTGTCCATCATGTATGTAAAGAGTTCATTGTATTCACGCTGAAGCAGCTTGTGCGTGCCAGCGACCTTCTTGCGTAGATCATCGATTGCCTGAGACAAATTATCTCGAGCCGCGTCCAAAAGAGCTTCTGCTGTTGGCTCATCCACAGCAGCGGAATCCTTCGTTTTAAGCCCCTCGTGCTGTAGCGTACGCAAGTGCATGCGCTGATTCTGCCAGTCGTCCCACTGTAGCTGCAACAACTTGCCCAAATAATTTAGAACGGCAGTCCGCAAGATGAACTGCCGTATACCTGGATGGGCTATGTTGCGCACACGCACTCGGAACATCCTCAAACAGTTGCTCAACTCTCCAAATCCTAGTGTCAAATTACATTGAATGTTATTATTAGAGAGCCGGCTGCTTAAATAAATAAATCTACGTATAATATTCAGTGTCAAATAATTGTGGCAACTACAAAGTAAGGATCTATGATTCATAGCATATCGATCATAGTTTTAAAATTTGCAGGCAGCTAAGAATATAGCCATGTCGCCCGCCTACACCTATTTTTGTATAGTTCTCCCCATATGAACTTTACATAAATCATACTGATTACTATTGTCCAATTTTAGCCAAAGAACCTTGATTGTGTCTTTCATTATTTTTAGTTCGAACGTATAGCTTGGAAACTGAGAGTCTAAGCTACAAAAATGTAGGAAGTATATGTAAATATATTTATATATATATAATCATATATTATATTTTCAACACACAACTGAATAATGCCTAATGCGTTGAAATATTTTGAAGAAAACTTTGATATTTAACATTGGGCAGAATATATATTTACAAAAGGTCACAACTAGTAAAACTTATATTAGTGGGTTTCCCAATGTTTTCCCACGAATCTATTGATTTCATAAAAATCTTTCGACTTTTGTTGTCCATGTTGAATTTTTAAAACAATCCTTCGATTTGCCCAGTCTCGGTGTTCAGATCGATGTCATAGATGGCTGGGCGAGTAGACAATCCCGGCATTTTGGTGATGTCCCCACACATGGCCACCACAAAGCCGGCCCCGGCGGACACATAGACATTCTGCACCTTAAGGGTAAAGCCCTTGGGGGCTCCTTTAATGTTGGCATCACCAGTGACCGAGCCGGAGGTCTTTGACATGCAGATAGGAAGAGACCCAAAGCCCTGAAATAGCAAAAGCATTAATATGGCATTAAATCATATGAATATGAATTTAAATAACTTACTGCATCGGTCAACCGTTTGATCTGATCCTTGGCCTCCTGGCTAAGTTCCACTTGGCCCGCTCCGTACATGGTCTGCGCAATCTTATTCATTTTATCCTCCAGAGGCAGATTCGGTTCGTAAAGCAACTTAAATTCATTCTTCCGTTCGCAGGCCTCGATGACAGCATCGGCCACTGGGACTGCACCGGCGCCACCGTCTGCCCAGTGGGTTGAGACCACTGCAGCAAAGGCGCCCGCCTCCAAAGCGGCCTTCTTCAATAGCTCATGCTCGGCCGGTGTATCAGCCACATGGGCATTGATCGTCACCACAACAGGCATGCCAAAGGAGCAGCCATTGGAGATGTGTTGCAATAGATTGGGCAATCCCTTCTCGAGCAGTTCCAGATTCTCCTCTGTATACTGTTTGTTGAGAGGCGTACCTGGCGTGACTGGAGCACCACCGCCATGCATTTTAATTGCTCTGACCGTTGTCACCAGGACCATGGCATCGGGCTTTCGACCCGAGTTGCGGCATTTAATGTTGCAGAACTTCTCCATGCCAATGTCGGAGCCAAAGCCCGCCTCAGTGCACACGAAGCCTTGGCTGCCCACCAGCTTGAGGCCAATCTCATCGGCAATGATCGAATTACACCCGTGAGCAATGTTGGCAAAGGGACCTGCGTGCACCAGCACTGGAGTGCCCTCAAGCGATTGCATTAGATTCGGTTCCAGCGCATCCTTCAGCAGCACAGCCAGTGCACCAGTTACACCCAGATCATCCGTTGTGACGGGAAGGCCTTCCTTGTTAAATGCTACGACCATTTCTCCTAGCCGACACTTCATGTCTGCCAAGCTGGAGGAGAGCGCGAGCACTGCCATAATCTCACTGGCCACCGCAATAGAAAAGCGCGTCTTGCGGCTGAGGCCCTTCTCGCTGGGTGACTCGCCAATCGTGATTTCTCGCAGATATCTGTCATTAATGTCCACCACACGCTCCCACATGATGGTGTCCACATCAATGTTGAGTCGTGAAAAGGCGGCGGCTTCTGTTTCGCTTAGCTCATCGGGTTCCGTTTTGTCTATGCCCAAGCGCTGCAAGCGGCGCAGCTGGATGGGGGAGAACTTGCGCTGACCCTTGATCTTTGGCACCAGCCGATTGTACAGTGCCTTATCCGTCTGCGTTGCCTCGTGGAAGATGCGCGTGTCTAGTTGTGCGGCCACTAAATTGTTGGCTGCGGCTACAGCATGTATATCACCTGTAAGATGCAAATTGAACTCCTCCATGGGGATTACCTGGGCATAGCCACCACCCGCTGCTCCACCCTTGATGCCAAACGTGGGTCCCTGCGATGGCTGACGCAGTGCAGCAATCACGTTGCGGTGCTTGTGCGCACCCAGCGCTTGCACCAAGCCCATCAGCGTGGTCGTCTTACCCTCTCCCAAAGGTGTCGGCGTGATGCCCGCTACAACGACATACTTGCCCACTTGCTGATCCTTTAAGCGCTCGATCACGCTCAACGAGATCTTGGCCTTACGACTGCCATACATCGACACCTCATTCGGCAGCAGTCCAATTTCTTCGGCCAGCTTTCCAATATGCTTAGGTCGCTGCGCACGCGCGATATCTATATCGGACGGCACAGGTCTGACTAGGCGCAGTGGCAGCACCTGCAGTGACCATTTGTTGCTCCTAGCAGTAGTCGCTGCTCTGGTAGCCGACACCACAGTGTTCTTCATGAGCATGGCCACGGTCATGGGTCCCACGCCTCCAGGCACAGGTGTTAGATAGCCCGCCACCATCTTCGCCTGTTCGTAGTCAACGTCACCCACCAAACGGGTACCGTTCGGCTTAGATGCGTCTGCAACCAACAAGGATGAGGATAATTCAATTTATTTACTAAATGCTGCCATTTAATAATTTCTTGACTGTTGCCGCCCAACGAAATTCGTTTACTAAGCTTCAAACAAAAATTCTTGGTATGGAAAACAACTCGCTGAGCTGCTTATCAGGGTCGGGCAGAGATGAAGCGCAGCGATAAGCAAGGGTAGGCAATTGAGAGATTAAATACGAGAAATATGAATACTCTATTCGGGAGTGCCCGGCTAGCAGATACCTCGAACAACAACCCCAACACAAGTTACAAGTTAGAAGAGAATTTCCAAAATTGAAAATAATCAAAATATGACTTTACTTCACGTTCTGCGTACTCAAATAGATATATCTAGCTCTAATTGTGTCCAAGTTCAAATCAAGAATTTTCTCTATATTATGCAGCTTTGAATAAAAATAATCAAGCAACTTCTAGTCGGCAGTGCCCAACTCGGAGATACCTTGACCCCCGGTGCACAGCTGGTTTTCCATTCATTCTAAGCTTATCTTATGCATACATATAGAGAACACATGCATCCATACATAAACATAAAACATTTGAACTACCTCAAATTGGAGAATGGTATACAAAATTGATGAAATAAGCATTACGAATCTAGTTTTTGTCGGTGCATTAATGCAGATTACAGAGAGACAAACTGATGAACAGACAAGCAAACATTTGGACTGTCAGACGAACTGTCGAACATCATGGCACGATCGATGCAACTTCTCAGCTTAATCAAGAATTTATATGCCTTATGGTCTTGGGCAGCTCTCTTTCTGGCACTGACAATTTAAGAAAGGCATGCATTTCTTGTAAGCTGTGCCAACTCACCTGGTTTCACATTGATGCCACAGTCGATGACCACGGCACCGGGCTTTATCCAGCTGCCCTTGACCAGCTCGGCCACTCCAATGCCCACCAGCAAAATATCAGCGCTACGCGTGATCTCCTCCAGGTTCTTCGTCTTCGAGTGGCACACGGTAACTGTCGCATTAGCCCACTTAAGTAGCTCGGCAGCAGGTGTGCCCACTATTTTGCTGCGACCAAGGACAACAGCTCGAGCGCCAGCGATCTCCACACCTGTGCTTCGGATTAGCTCGAGGCAGCCCCAAGGTGTGCAGGGCAGAAAGCCATTGAGATCGCCGACGGCAAGGCGACCTTCGTTCACTGTATGAAGACCGTCCACATCCTTAGCAGGAGAGACGGCGTCTGTGATCCGATGAGGATCGATGGCCGTGTCGCAGTCCAAAGGCATCTGCACAATTATGCCGTGCACCAGAGGATCGACATTAAGGTCGTTCAGCTGGCGGAACACATGACGTGCGATTGATTAGAAACAGTTAAGGTGTTAATTATTTGATAGCAATTCAATTGAATATTGGGCGGGTAGAGTATTAAAGCTTTCTTATGAAATATGTAACACATTGAAGAAGTTGACTTAAAGTACAAAAATAATCTTTAGCACAATTATGATCACCAGAACATCAGCATCTTAAGCTTATGTGATTGATTTAAGAACTGCATTATGTTATTTTTGGCTTAATAATTTCTATTTTATTTTTATTTTTATTTATTTATTTTTAAATCGTTAAATAAACACTTTTGTAACTTCCTAAGCCCAGTGTCAAACTATTTCACGAACTGAAACGGATAATTAAGATTTGGAAAATATACTCCCTCGTCTTATAAAGGGTTAAGGTATGTTAAGCTGGAAAATAGTATATCTGGTATAAGAGAAACTCCATTATTTATAGTGCTTAATACTTGAAATTTGGAATATAAAAATGAAGTTTGTTTGCCCATTTTGTTTTCCAGAGTTCTTGAGTTAGAAACCAACAAATTTAAAAATTGAGTTACTGGCCACCTCTTCAGTAAGGATATTTCAACAACTATATATCCACTCCTAATGGAGGCCTGAGGAAAATTTTATTTTCTTAAGTTTTACAGTTACAAGCTCAAATTCTAACAAACATTGTTAAGTTACTGCAGGCTTCATCTTGAAATTTAACAACAGCTTAGCGCTCTGCTATTCATTATAGTAAGCTTGATTTACTATATATATAAATAGAATATATTTATATATTTATAATAAGTGTATATAAAAATTCTATGTATATAATAATATATATATATATATATATATATATTATATATATATATATATATATATATATATATATATATATAACCTTTTCACTTTTTGGCTACAAGGATTATTTTCATTTTGTATAAATCGATCAACAAATCGATCTAGTTTCCAAATACTAAATTATTTTGACACCTTAGGACAATAGATAAAATATTTTGGGAACAATCAGTTAATGATAATGATTCCGAGGTATATAATCAACTAAGTTTAAATGTTTTCAACCTATTTCAGCTAATGTCAGCCATAAATGACAATTTTTTATTTAGCATTTCTTTTGACAATTATTACATAACGCGTTGATTGACTTTGACTTTGACTCACCTTATCGATCAGCTCTAGTTCGGTAACGGATCTGGGAAGCTGAACGTGTACTGCATTGATGCCAATTTCCTTGGCAGCCTTCATCTTCATGCGTATGTAAACATTCGAGTCCTCTCGACCGCCCACCTGCACGATTCTCAGTCCGGGCACAAACTGAGCGCCCGCTGCCCTCAGCTCATCCACCTGCTGGCGCAGTTCCTCACGTATTTTCCTGGTAGATGCAACAGGTACCACATAGTATACTCCCTTTACAGAAGGCAACTTCTACTCACTTGGCCACCGCTGTGCCAGATATGACTTTCGACTCCACGGTCATCTTTCTCACTTTCGACTCTCTGCAAAAACGCACAAAGTTTTGAAGTCTACGCGCAATATTTGGTCTATGGACGGGGCACGATAGCAACAATAGCCAACGCTCGCGCAATGCAACTGAACTCCTATCGGTCGTACTGGTGCTATCTATACCCACAGCTATTGCCACACATCTACAGACACAGGTACGTATGTGTGTCTTTGCTCTATCTCATGCTAATCCCTCTCCTCTCGCCCCTTCAGCGTTCGCTTATCAGCTGACATTTGTGATTATTTGGTTTTGGGTTTCGATAGGGTCACAGCTACTCGTAAACAAATACGCAGCTATACTGAGAAGCCAAGATTCCTCCATTGGCCACATAATCAGATCTCTCTTCATTCGAGAGCTGTGACCGCAAAGTAACATGCGAGCCGGCTCGACTGTTTGCATTGCTTGTCGGGCTTAAAGAGTTATGAGAAGTTAGGCAATATGAAGAGTAGCATGTTAAGCAATCGTTAAATAAAAATGGATTCGAACTTGAACATGCTAAAACATATTAATAAACAATCGTACTAAATATTAAAACCCGTTTATAAAATTGAAAAATATTTTAAAACCACAAATAAACAAAAACTTTACAAACTTTTGATTTATATTCTTCGGGTTCAAAAACTTTTTAATGAACTACGATTTAAATACAGATTTTTTAAATATTTATGAATTCAAATCTCCAAAAATAGTATTTTTGGGTGATATTTATTTTTATTTTTATTCAAAATAATAATAATTTCTAAAAATTGTTCCCCTAACATATTTTAAGCTTGGGAGTTTCTGATATTAAAATATATAACATCAAATTCGTACCAATTTTTCAGATCTAAATAAAAATCTGAAAATTTGAGTTTTCTATTTCTTTACGATTAAGAAACAATTTTAATTTAAATCAATTTAATATGCACAGACAGCTCTTGACAAATATATCACCAAGATAACAAATATTTTATTTGTTAAAAATTTTCCATTATTTGAAAAGTTGTTTTTATACCACTGTGCGCTTAGTATAATTCTATTAGTTATATATAACACGGACTTCGTAATCTATTTACTACCTGAATTCGGTGCGAAACAAACAAATTCCACAAGAAAACACAAAATGCAAACAAAAACCAACAAAATGAAAAAAAAAGAGTAGAAACAAAACAGAAAAAACGTGCCTTATCGCAAGGTGTGAATTGCTATGCAGATAACATGAGAATCGGTGGACATATCAATTAGCAAATTCCAAATATCAAGAGAGAGTTAAGAAAGAAAGAGAGAGTGGGTTGTAAGAAGTTTCCATTTTATTCCTGACCAGGCTTTTCTTAATCTATTATTTACTTTATTTTAACGGCGGCACGCAGCTTTGCAGAGCGGCTGCGGCTGTTGCGTGCGATCTCCGAGGCATCGGGCAGGATGACATGCCGGTGCAGTTGACGCCAATTGGACTGGACAAACGATTCTAACAGCTCTGGATCGTGGGTAAAATCGTGTCCGCAATATTTCAGTGGTACCGGGTTGGCCATTCCTTCAATTACATTGCCATTGAGATGACGCTTGACAATGGTGTCTTCCAGCGAGTGAAAGGTGATGGCCACCAATCGACCCTGGACCCGCAGCAACAGCTCCCTAGCCAGCAGCATGCCATAGTTGATCTCATTCAACTCGTTGTTGACAAAGATTCGCAGTGCTTGAAATGTTTTAGTGGCCACATGCGATGGCCGCTGCAGCTTGTCAAGACGCTGTCCTTCGCCCAGCACAGAGGCTACCAGATCCGCCAGCTGGTGAGTGGTTTCTATGCGATGCAGTGCACTACGCGCCTCGATAATGGCACGAGCTATCTTCTTGGCCGCTTTCTCCTCGCCGTAGACTCGCAAAATACGCGCAAGATCTGGCTCCTCAATGCGGGCCAACACATCCGCGGCGCTGACTCCACCACGTCCACAATCCATACGCATGTCCAGCGGCCCGTTGTGTGCGATAGAGAAGCCGCGTGCAGCTTCATCAAACTGCATGGAACTGCAGCCAAAATCGAACAGCACGCCATCGAAACTGCGGGGCGGCACATTTAGTGTTTGCAGCAGCTGCGGTAGCTCCGAGAATTTGCCAAGCAATGGGACTAGGCGTCCTTTATAATTCTGCTCCTGGCTCATACGTTGGGCTAGTTGATGAGCCACTGGATCTCGATCAAGGGCATAGATTGTGGCCTCTGGGCAGTTGTCTAGCAGACGACGCGCGTGTCCGCCAGCGCCAAAAGTCATATCGATGTACTTGCCTCCCGGCTGCGGCTGCAGATACTCAATGGCGGTGTCGCAGAGCACAGGCACGTGTGGAGCAGCTTGAGCTGGAGTTGAGGGCGTGGCAGTAACTGAATAGTATTTATTTTGTATTGCTGTTAATCTTAGCCTAGTCAGGAATTGGTGCATCAGCTGCCTTGGTTTAATTGCGCTTGCCATCGTTCAGATACTGCAGAAACTCAGAGCTGAGTACCTGGTTACACTGTGCAGCAGTTAGGCCCGTTGCCGTCGATTCGTAACGCCTCCTATACTTCTTCGCATAGACGTTATTGGAGATCCTTTCCAAGGAGTCGATTTGCCTGTTCAGCTGCTCAGTGGATGCAAAGTTTTGGCTGGTGGCGTCTGTTAGTTTGGTCACTTGCTTGCGGATTTGTTCGCCCAGATCCCTTTGAGTTGGGAGAGAAAATGTTGTTTGGTTTTCAGATGCTCAGTTTTATGGTTTTGGTTTGTGTTTCGTTGCAGCGAAAACTTGGCAATAGTGAAATGCTAAACGATGCTCAAGAAACAAACAGAGACTTAATTGTTTTGACAGGTTACATTACTTTACAGTAGAGTAATGACAGCCTATACACCCCTCGATTATTTACAGCTTAAGAAATTCTAGTAAGCAATATAAACAAAACAAAAGCAGAGTAAATCTAAAAACTGAGCAGTGAACTGGGCAACATGTGGATTTAAGCCTCCATAGTATATATTATACTTAAAAGCTGAAAAGCCAGATCAAAATCTTACCAGCTTTTTTTTAACTATTTGAACAATAAACGCAATAGAAGCTAGCATCACTGATCTTTACGTTTCAATTGTAACCTTGAGAAGTAAGACCAGCCATAGACCTACGTCTCCGACAACGTAATACTCGTTTACAGTTTTACAATAGCAATGCTGACTCCATATAATTAATGGCTCAATATGTAGAAAAAAATCTAGCAACTGCGAGATTCTAGCTGCACAACTGGGAAAACAAATTGCTTTTATAAGATGAAACTAATTTATCTGCGTTTTAGAAAGTTATAAAAAGGGTATTAGCTTTGCTGTTATTATATTTTAAGATCATTTTGCTATTTTAAACCAAATAATTGATTGCGTATCGTTCTATTGAAAATAAATACTTCGATTTGTGTGGCAATCTACAACTAATGTACACCTTTTACCAAGTAATTTAAGATTCTAGATCTTATTTAAGTAATTCTTCATGTATTCATTTATAGATTAAACACACACGTTAAACACTTACATAGCCATCTCCTCCTCGCCAAGAAGGAAAGACTCTGGTATTAACTGGTAGGCGTATTTAGACGACATTATAAAAGAAAAATTCTAAGTCAAGCACTAAATATGCACAAAGAACCCGAACGCGACAAAAAGCGTTAAGACACTGAGCTGGAGCCCATATTCAATTGAAATATGTTCTGTCTAGATGCGTTCCACAAACATTTATTTCCATTGTGGGAAATGAGCCATATTCCCCAAGGGCTAGCGTTAACAACACCAAGCGACATCAAATTCAATGGAACTGTGCCTACTTATTTCAACCTAATAGTTATCACAGTAATATAGCAAGTTATTTAAATTTAGTTTCTTAAGCAAATGAGACGTGAAAAGGTTAGATAATATCAATTGCAAGACTTCGCTGAACGAACATTTGACAGTATGTGTTTTACTGATCTTACCTGCCGACTTTCGTTTTCTCTGCTGGCCACTTCTCTAGTACGTTAAGAAATCTTTTATATGGTGCAGACATGCTTAATGTAACAATATTTCTAAGAGAAATAAATAATTTTTAGCGCCAAAACAAAAACATTGCACGCGTTGAACAGCTGAGCAATTTAGTATTTTAAGCACTACTAAATGCATTTTACTGCACTGCAAAGCCATGTTGTAAAACACGAAAATAATCGTACGTACGACATATCGATACATAGAAATGCGTGGAGCGAAAATTTAAATTGAATAACAGTCAAAACTATTAAACGACAAGAACAATAAATAAACACTCCTGTAATTTAACCTGAATTTCACCCCATTGAATATGATTTTTGATTACAGTTTCCAAAATTAATACATTATTAATGGTTCATTTAATTTTTAAAATTAAATTAAATTATTGGCAACTTAAGTGGATTTTAAATGTACTTAAGTAAATTATAATAATTTTATAATAACATCCTTAATATATAATTATTAAATTAATTAATTAATTACATATGTATAAAAAACACAGGGTACTCGAAGTGCTATTGAAAATAACAACCAATCAGATTAAAACCGGAATAAAACACAAAGAGAGTCGCTGAGAGAACAAAAGAAAGACAGGGAGCGCAATAGTGGTGAGCAAAAAACACACACATAAAAAACATAAACAAGCATTTTTTCATTGCGTGTGCAAGAGGGAGAGAGCGCAACAGCGGGCACACAGAAGCACACACACACCCAGGTACTTACGCTCACAGCTGCTTTCCGCTTGCAATGTCACGAAAAAAGTTGAGTGATTTTTTTCAGTCGAGTTTTTGCCACCGAACTGAACGGTTCTTCTTCTTCGTACTCGTCTTTTTGCATTTTCCGTTGTGATTTGTTGTTCGCGTACGCACAGCATGTAAACACCGAGGGGCAAAACGAAGCACAAATCATATTAACGAAACGAAACTAGCATGCTGTAAAACGAGTGATCTCCCTTCATTAATCATTTATAATTAATCAAGGCGCCAAAATTAACTCGCGCCAAATTTTGCAAAAAAGAGGGCAGCACAAGTGCAAACACACACGCTCAAGTTTGTGTTGGTGTGTATATATTTTTGGCGTGCGCGGCCATTTTTTCCTTAGCTCTCAAGTCTGCATTTGTGTGAGTGCGTGCTTAGTGTACTCGAAATTAGTAAGAGAAAACGTAAAAAGTGCAAATGGACAAAATTTATAAAAAAAAGTATTTGGAGTTGTTTACCTAGATATCGCAAATATCTTTAAATCGATGAGTGTAACGGCTATTATCAAATCTGCACGCCTAAATATTATTGCTCTATTCGCATGCAGCACGAAAGGTGAAAACAAAATCGCAAAAAGGTGAGAAGTTGTGAAAGGATAGCGGGAGGCAACGCAAATATTCGTCGCCACACTTCCTTCCCCACTAATAGGTCAGGCAGAACACGTGCTTTTACTACGAAAATATCAACAGAAACGCGCGCAAAAAGAGAAGACAACAATAACAACTGCTATTTCCAATTGGTAAGTTCTTGGAAATGTTTTTTTTTTTATTTCTGAGCAAAATAGCAGATTTTTATGTATGAAATTTTTGACAGTGGTAAAATTTTTTTATCTTAAAAAAAAAGAGTTTCTAAAAAATAGTTTGTTATGAAATAACATACTTTATAACCGTTTTAATTTTGATTATTATTTCAGCAACTATGATTCATCTAATAATCTATTGTATAAAGATCTCGGGAGAAGCAGTTTATTTAAAATAACAAAGAATTTATCCAAAATATTTAAAATCCGTAGCAGCAAAACATTTTCATCACTTGTGGTGCTTGGACACCACAATAACATATCATCAAAACATTTGTTCATGTGCAAACAGAATTGTAATACTGTGCAACAACGGCTGCCAATATTTACCCACCCGCCCTGGTCATTGTTTGACTTCTTTATGTGCCATTCATTCGGTGGCGGTTTGTGTCGTCTTTTTTATCTCCTGTTTTTGCTCTCGCTCTCAGCATATTTTTTCTTTTTTTTTTTGCACATGTCGCCCCCACCAGCCTTTTTTCGTTTATTTGCTTAGCACTCCAAGCTTTTATTCCGTTTTTTTTTGCAGCTTGCTTCTGTCCGGCTCTTCATTTGTTTATGTTGCTCACTCGCTCGCGCGCTCTCACTCTCCCTCTTGCTCTCTTATGCTGTTCAGCTGCGGTCGCTGCTCGCGCTCAATTAATTTTCGTTGATTCGTTTTTTGTACATTGTGTGAGTACGTGTGTGTATGCTTGAATGTTTTGTGTGTATGTTCGTTAAATTTTTTTTGTGTATACCTATTTTTTATACATACATATGTATGCTTATGAACAGCAACGTTGGCGTTAGCGTGCTTTGGGGCCGCCTGAGTGATTCCATCTTCAGCTGTAGTCGTTGCATTGTATGGGTGTATGTTTATTTGTTTGACGCCACTTTCAACAAATAAGAAAAGTAATCTGCGGCAGTTTATTTTTCGTTTTAAGATATATAAATGAACCGCAGTCTAGCGCCTATCCCTCAGCCACTGCAGGGTCAGCTAGCTAAACTAGACTAGACTAGAGCATCCTCTGTACCGTTTCCCTTTAGCATTTACTCTGTGCTCAACGGCCTACTGTTCAACTGATGGACCAACGTCAACAGAAAAAAAACACAACAACAACCGGTTTTTTTGACCAGCGAGCTATAAAAATGTTTTAAGAAAAAAATCAAAAGAAACACAAAAAATCTGCTTCTGACGTCAACTGCGCAGCAGCGCCAGCAACGACAACAAAACAGCTACGCACTGCGTCTGTGGTCTGCCTGTATGTGTGTCACTCATTCTCCCACTCTTGTGCGGCGCTTCACCACTCACTCTCTATCTCTTTCCTTCATTCTCTCAGACCGATTTAATAACTCAATTCAATTTATTTCGATGCGGCGCGCGCCAATTCAGATGTTTTTCTTTTTATTGATTTTTTTTTATAAAACAAAAAAATGGAAAAAATACAAAAACGAGGGAAACACACGTAAAAATTCGGCGGGCAAACACCTGTGACAGCTTTTTGTTTACAAATGCTCACTCATTTTTGTTTATGGGTCAAGAAGCGTGTTTCAATTAAAGAGCTGGCATATATTAATCTTTTTATGCTTATGATCTTTTTTATTAACATTGATCAATATATAATGATTTCGAGTATATTTAATTGCAGTTTATTTATGATTTAAAATGCTATATATTTTGATTTACCTACTTCGATTATCTGACATCTTTAACTTTACTCATACATACATACACAAAATTCTTATATGTATATAAATACATTGTCATACATCTATTAACTTGTTTTCGCTGCACTAACTCTTTTTGTCTTTTACTTAGAAATTTTAATAAAAAAGTTAGTTTAATATTTAAGTCATAACATATTCTAAATAAATAAATACATAACTTCCGATACGAGGAAACCAATATTTCCTCTTAGCAGTGATATCGTAATATATTGATATCATAAATATTCGTTTATTTATTAAGAATTAGTCAATACTACTACTATTAATACATTGCAGTACACATAACATAAACTTTTGTCTATGCAATATACAAATCATCCAGTTCGTTCTAGGGGCCTTAGTGAAAACTTTAAAAGATTGCTTAATATCTATGTATTAAATTATATATGTATATAAATATTTAACTCTTAAATATTTATAGTTTTCAAAAAATGCTATTCAATGATCTATATGATGATCAACAACTTTTTTATACCTCTATAAAGTTTGTATAATCTTCATACAAAAACGAAAAGTCTTTCATAGATGACAGTTATTTTTTGTGTTTCTCAAAAATGTAGCCAATTGAAATTTTTTTATTTATAAACTGTGCAAATCATAAAAATTAATTTATAGTATTTTGTAGTTCATTAATAAGTTGTAGTGTTCAAACTACATCTGTTTTTTTGCCATACTTTTGGTTTCCTGTTTAATAGATATTTGAAATTTTATTTTTATAATTTATTTGAAATAAAATAGTAAAATTTTCTTAATATTAAACAATATATCTAATGTTATCTATTCTGTTTCATATGTATTAAAAACAACGTTTTCGAACTCCACTTTTCTTATATATGTAACATTACTACTACTGTTAATTATAACCTTGAACCCATTGAAACTGGGTAAGCAGCCTATAGTCAGTGAACAATTTATAGTAATAATGTTTTATATATGATTAAGATACACGCAAAACCCTGAAAATCTTGAAATTATCAAAGAGTCTAGCTATACATGCATGTTCAGGGTATCTCCTAGTGAGTTGCTCCGACTAGAGCGTTCTTATTTTGTTTGCTTTAGAATAATTTGAAATATTCTTTTGTTATTCTGCAATTCTTGAATGTATTCCAAATCAGATAAGTGCCTCTCGTCTATTCTTTATTTAGCATCTGCTTTGGGGACTCTCATCTTTGAGGCAGATTACGAATTGCCCCATTTTTGCAAAGAGGTTTGTTCTGTGTTCTTCAGTTCTCGAGGTGATTGACACGTTCCACTGGCGCCCCTGACTCTTAGCTGGCCTCCCGGCTCTTTCTTACAGAGTGCACAAAAAATAGAGAACAAATTTAGGTTTTTCTTGGTTCTTGTTCAGTATAGAAAAGAGTATATGGGTTTTGTGCCATGTTCTTCTTGCTATTCGTCCGTCAGTCCGTATAAGCGCAAATCATTTTGTCGCCATTGAAAATAAAGACTTGAAATTTTTAATGTATACTCGTGAAGTAATGTCGAGTTTATGTAACATAGATGCTCCTACTGGAAAAACTATATAATCTCACAGCCTTTCAGGTTGACCGCCGTTGGCTGCTCTAGAAGTAGAGCCCATTGTTTATTTGAAATCGTGAACGGGTATTGTGTGGACGACTGTACCCGACTACAACGTTCTTACTTGTTCTTTTTGCATTTTTCATATAAATGAAATGTTGTGTTGTCACATCGGCTTTTTTGCTTTGCACAAGCGCCTTTTTTGTTTATCTTGTGTTTTTTTGGCATTGTTTTTTCAGTGCTTTGCTTGCAAAGTTTTGTTTTATTTATTGCACGTTTAATTCATAAACAATTAATTAATTCATGCACATTTATGTTAAATTTATGTAAAAAAGTCTTAAAAAAATTGCCAACTATTTGTAAAAGAAAAAATAAAGTAAAGCGAAAGCCAAATGGAAAAAGTAGTTTAACAGTTCTGTTGACTCTACAGAAATTTGCGACGGAAGCCTAAATAACATTTACAATATTTCTGTATTTTCAGCATAAAATCCAAACGACAAAAAAAGAGAATAAGCCAAGAAGTTGTGTAAGCCGCGTTTCGATTTCATTTTAGTTGCAATCGTTGCCCGGCTCGGTTACGCTCTCTTTCTCTCCAATCTCTGTTAAAGCGCTTGCTTTTGAAAAGGCCACAATCTGGACGCTCGTACGATCGCCTATCGACCGCTGAACCTAGGCGGGCAGCCGCTTATGGCTGCCGAATTGCCAACGACGACGCCGAACGGCGCTGCCCTCGGCGCTGGTGGCGACTATCATCTGCATCGATCAATTGATCAGCTGCGCACGCTTAGTCATCTCACTCAGCAGCAGCTAGTCCATGACTACAAGCCCTTCAACATCAGCGAGTTTCGTCAGAACGTTGAACGTTTGGACTACTCACGTAAGAACGGACTGGTGCAACAGCAGCAAATACTTATCGACCAACAGCAACAGCAGCAACCGCAACAGCAGCATCAGCAATCTCATCAGCATGATCCCGAGCAGCAGCAGCAGCAACAGCAACAACAGCAGTTGCTTCATCAGCCGCAGCTAAAGGGCAACTACAGTGCTCCAAGCTCGCCGCCAACCCCTACTCAGCTCAGCGAACACCAGGAGCAAAAGGTGAGTGCTTAACGATCATGACTAATTCATCTTTGAATTTAATTTATATATAATATATAATATATAATATATAATATATAATATATAATATATAATATATAATATATAATATATAATATATAATATATAATATATAATATATAATATATAATATATAATATATAATATATAATATATAATATATAATATATAATATATAATATATGATATATATTTAGTCAATCGATTAAAGATCTTTAGATCTAAACCAGTTCGCAAATAATCTAATATAGTAGAAATAAATTTCAACGAGTGTACAAGACAGATTTATAATTATGAATCATAAAAAAACGAAATAGCATTGAAGTAATGTATATTTACGATAAGTTAAGTTTTTAATTTCCAATTTGAGCCCAAAATTTCGAACAATAAAAATTGGAAATGACTTGCTTTGAGTTTTAATTTCTAGTTCATAGAAGATTTTTTGTTGGAAAATAATTTAAAAAAAAATTAATAAATGATTGTCGTGTTAAATACTTGTATATTCTAGCTTTATCTAATCTTGTTCAGAATCTTACAATTTATAATATGTGCAACAGTTCAAATGTCATACAAGACCTAAATGTTTTACTTATGATTTTTTATTTATTTTATATAACGAATGAGAATTTATAATTTATTTAATATTAACAATTTTAATCCTATATTATTACATATTCTTCTTTGTGACTATTATTTATATTGAGAACTTTTTCCCGCCTTCTCTTATTGCAGTACGATCCGAGTCGTTCGCCTTCTCGGCAGCAAGGCGGTAGTAATGGTAGCAACGGCTCATCGCCCGAGGATCAGCGCCAAGGCGGGGAGCAGACCAAGCCATACAAATGCGCCTCATGCAGTAAATCTTTTGCCAACTCATCCTACTTGTCGCAGCATACGCGCATCCATCTCGGCATCAAACCGTACCGCTGCGAGATTTGCCAGCGCAAGTTTACGCAGCTCTCGCACCTGCAGCAGCATATACGTACGCACACGGGCGACAAACCTTACAAATGTCGGCATACAGGGTGCCCCAAGGCCTTCTCTCAGTTGTCTAATCTGCAGTCGCATTCGCGCTGCCATCAGACGGACAAACCGTTCAAATGCAACTCGTGCTACAAGTGCTTCGGCGATGAGGTAACGCTGCTCGAACACATACCCAAGCACAAGGACTCGAAGCATCTGAAGACGCACATTTGCCAGCTGTGCGGCAAGTCCTACACGCAGGAGACCTATTTGCAAAAGCATTTGCAAAAACATGCTGAAAAGGCCGAGAAACAACAACAACGACACACGACGCCGACCTCCAATTTGCAACAGCATGTGCCAGCGGGTGGCATTGGGCTGAATCTGCAAAGGCAGGCGATGAATGATGCTAATGCCGCGTATTGGGCTAAAATGGGCGTTGATAGTGCCGCCGCCACGCTGGCCGAGGCCATACAGCAGCAGTTGCCGCAAGCTAATAGCAGTTCCTATGCCAACTTTGCGACACTACAACAGCATCAGCAGCAGCAACAACAGCAACAGCAGCAGGAACTGCTACAGCAGCATCATCAACGTTTGGCCAATGGCGGTGGAGATACGCCTGGTCACTCGCACAGCCCTCATGACGAAGCTGGCGAGGATCTAGTGTTGCGTCAGAGTACGCCACAGCATCATATACAACAGCAACAGCAGCAACAGCAGCATCAGCAGCAGCAGCAACATGCGACGCATGCTCATTCACCCGGACCGGGTACCTCTGCCTTTACTCCGCTGAGCGCCACTGTTGCACCACCGCCCACGCATTTGCAACAGCATCGAGCACCACCATCAGCTACTGCCGCCTACCTGTATCAGCAGAATGCAGCTGCTGCTGCTGCCGCCGCCGCCTTCCCCACTCAGCTAATCTCACTTCATCAGATACGCAACTATGCCCATCAACCGGGCGCAGGCCTTCTGCCCAGCGATCATTTGGCTTTGGGTCTCAGTACCGTGGCCAAGGAGAAGGCCCAATAGTATCGGGCGATTGGCCATAAAAGGCAGCCAAAAGAACCACAGCTACGATGACAGCGAATGCAGCTTAAGTTAAGTTAAAGTTAAGTTAGGCTTAGCTTGGGCTGATTTAAAGAAGGGTCACCTGTTGATGTCTGGTTTCCTCTATTCAACTCCGATGTAGCTGGACAGTACGACTAAAACACATTGTAGCCAAGTCGGCAACTGTGCTGCCACATCGAAGCATATGCACAGATTTAGGAACTCCACACTGCCTCAAATAAAATATACCTATATAACGTGACAGATACATACAGCAAACCAGGCTTTGGCAGACATACCCCGCACAGAAACTACTTGAAAATTATTTTTAAAGCAAACTCAGGTTTTTCATTTAGCTTTTAGAACTCACTATTTATATTTAATTAAACTATAAGCAATATTTACAAGCAAGTTAAAAACAAACACAAAAAACTCTATTCAACTTGAAAATTCTTTCGTTTCCAGTTGCGAACAGTTTTTTGTTTATGATAGTTCGTAAGCCTGTACAACAACCTATAATATATAGGGTATCATAGGTGCCGTACAAAGTACTGCGATAGTTATATATCCACAAATAAATAATGTACATATTATAATTAATAATAATGTGCTGTACAAGTCAACGTATCAACGTAGTTAATACAATCAACAATTTGTATGTATAAATCAAGTATAGGATATTTTTTATATTTAAGCGATATGTAAGCGGAAATGAACTTAATTTAAAGCAAATGATGTAAAAACGTAATGAATAAAAATTGAACAATATTTATAAAAGTAAAAGATGTTATGGATTCTCTTTCTATTTTATTCTAATTTAAAGGCCCAGACACCGCAGCTTTAAAATTTGTCAACAAGGATCAAAGGATGCGATGATGTAGAAGCAAATGCACATAATCCGCTTAGAGAGTAGAAAACCTTATACATGCTCACAAGAGACTTACGTTCTCAGATGTTCGACATTTCGCGTCCTTCCATATATTCGCATTACCCTCAGAAGCAAAGAAATTGAAATCGTCAAACAGCTGCTGCTACCTTCGATTGACGTCGCATTTCGAAGATTAATGATACTATTGCCTGACCCAAGTTAAAATTTGAATATGTGGACATTCATTGATTCGAGTTAAATTTAGATATTATAATATTTGCTTCAACATCGAAACGGATGTGAGAAATACAAATGCATTAAACACTTAATTACGCAAAACTGATGATTTTTTGTTATGTTCTTGTATGTAGTATTTTATTTAATCATCGCATCTGAAAACAAGTAAGAGTGATCTAGTCGGGACTGCCCGACTAGAAGATACCCTGACGCTTGTACACATTGCTGATTAGCGTATCTTTTACATATATTTTCCTAGCCGCATTTTCAGAGCGTCGTATGACATTCATATGTGTGTATTTGCTAAAACACTACCATTCCAATTCAAGAATATATATAATATATATATAATATATATAATAGATTGACTCAGATAGTTGACCTATCAAGACTATTTATACGTCTGCCACGCCATCCTTCATTCAAGGTATAAAATATTTAAGAAAGTAAATTATTTTATATTAGAGATTTAAGTGTATTATTACATAAGTTCTTTGTTTTTACATTTACCAAATAACTGGGTATTATATTTATATATATATTATATTATAGACAAAATGTAAATCGTATAAATATTTGAATTAATTTGTAGATTATATGGACTGCATGAGTGTATTAAGGTCTCGGCATAGATATAAATTTCCTTAATTTCTGGTTATTTTCGTGCCCGTTTTTATAGCAGCGACAAGCTGTTTATAGAGAACTACCAGCACATCACGAATTTCAACTTATGGCTACAACAGCTCACTTGAAAAACGAGTACCTAAAAGGTTCTCGCAGCGTCGCTTAAAGTTTTTAAGATTTTGCTCGTTCAACGTGGCTAGAGTCAGTGGAGAAAAAGATTGAAAGTAAATTTGAGAATTTAATAGTAAATTCTATGATATGGTGGTATGAATGTAACTGCATAATACACTGTCTAAATCCAACAACAGCCTATTAAATTAAAACATCTGCGGAAGATATGTATAAATTAAAGTTTTTTCTGGTTGACGATGCGAATAGTAATCCCCTTGTCAAATATTGCAGTCTCAGTTGTAAGGCTTTAAAAGATGTTGTATTTCACGGCGCCAATGGGCGCATTGAAAAGCACACGAGTCTCTAGTTTGCATTAAGCTCATGCAGAATTCCAAACATTGCTAAAAACCAATTCAATCTTTTATATCCTTAAAGTAGTCCATTTGGCTTTCAAACACAATACGACAGATAAAAGTTGAATCTACTTAAGAAATAAAACTTTAATATAAAAATGTGTAAGGCCTGCCATATTTTCAGAAGAAGGTGGAGGAGTTATAAAAATTTAATTCTGTCTAAAATGTCAAAATATTGAAATGTAGAATCCCAACAGAAAACATAAATATTGTTTTTTAATAGAAATTTATATGTTTGTAAATATAAAAGCAATATAAGTAAATAAAAACCCATTTAAACTTAGCCAACTAAAACAATTTCATGAAGTAGCGCTACGAATCCTAAATTATCGGTTCACACATCGTAAAAACCAGTTTCCAGATCAAACACAACAACATAGACGTGGCTTTAACTAGATGAAAATTAAAAGTCAAAAATAAGCGTTTGTTACGCGAAAATCTTCAAATCAATTATTCGGTTTTAATATATGTGTATATAGTAATAATTGACATATATATATATATATATATATATATATATATATATATATATATATATATATATATATATAAATATATTTATATATATTACATATTCTTAATATGCATACAAAATTAAAAAATACATCTTAAATCAATTTCATGCCGACTTTGATGAGCCTAAACACAAGCCCCAGCACAGAAAATAAAAACTGCGAACACATTAAAACCAGTTTTAGAACTTAACAGGTGTTTCACGCAAATGGCGTTGAATGTACATAAAAATAAAAGTAAACATAGGCAAATAAAAGCAAAAACGAGCAATAAAATAGGCGAAATAAAAACTTTATGGACACATAAAGATGAGTGTCTTTGGTGAGCTCGATAAAATCGGATAAATAGCGAATCGCATCCCATAATTGAGGTAGTAGAAGCAGTTATAGTGCGCCCACTAGAAGTCAATGAGGGGCTATCAAAGGGTTTGGCCAATTGTCTGTTTGCCGTAAACAAAGTACATTTAGGGATATTTGTTAAGCATTTGGGCACGAGTGTGATCCTTTGTACTTTACTCTTTTCTTATTTTTTTGGCAAAGAAAAGCCAGCCCTTCTCTAAGGATTGCCGACAATAAACCAACAAATCATCGCTAAACCCGTCAAAGATCGGCACACAAAAGAGCGAACGACACAGAATTGGCAACACACCACAAAAATGAAAAGAAAAAAAATAAAGAAAAAGCAACCGAAACAAAAATCTCTAGACAATGGCGATACATCGATCTATAATCGATCATTTGGCAGATTGTGCGAATACGCAAAGAGAAGAAAAGGGAAATTTGCCAATTGTTTGTGCAACCCTCTCTCTCTCTCTCTCTCTATCTGAAGTGCGATCTCTTTATATCGAGGGCGCTACGCAATGTTTGCCAATAATTTAATTGATAAATGATTTGAAATGTTTTTTTTTGGCAACTCGCGATCGCATCGATCATAAACGCAACGAAGCATTCGACTTTGGGACTAGTCATTGATTAGCATATCAATATACATTATTATAAATGCACTAATGATCAAGGGATTGTTGGGCTCTGTTTCTGCTATCTGCCATATCTGAAGCAAATGTCTTTTGTTTGCCTGATCTTTCAGTTTCTGGGGTGCTGAAATCATCACGAGGCTTTTCCTTTTGGTTGCATCATCACGGCCTTTGTTATGTTAACTATGAGAAAAATGCTGGCTGAGGATCTGCCAGGGCACAGGACTCTTTCACTACTCACTGTCAATTTTTTTTTGGCTGGCTTTGATCGATATGATAATTAGAATGCAGTGCCTGAGGTCAGGAATGAGTTGATAAAAAATGTGTGGCATCTGCCAAGATTCTAAGACTGTACACAGGAAAAAAACGAAGAAGATATATATTGAATATAAAAATATAATATAAGATAACAAATTTTAAAAACTTTGTTGTTCTTTTAAATAAATCAGATACTAAATATTATTACAATTTTGTTTATTTAGATAAAGTGAAAGAGATAGTGTTACTTATCTTAGATTTACCTCGTTTAAAACGTTTTTTTTTTTAATTTATACTAGACAATAAACAAATTTTTTACTTAGCCGGATGTCTTGGGCTCCAATGAGATCAATCCATATATTTACCTGCTTTACAGATTTATCTATTTCTGTGGGGCAGGTCTAGGGCATGAAATCTTTTAAGCAATAATAATAGCTTAAAACATTTGACAAAGAAATCACGCTTAAAAATTGGTTGATTAAAAATTATATATATGCTAAAAATAAAATTAAGCAACAGTATATGTATATAAAAAAAAAACAAATAAGAAAATATAATTGAAAGTGAGTTGGAAAGTGTTTGTAAGTGTGAGACATATAAGGATGAGAGCTAGAAAGTCCAAGTTCTCAAAATGCACAAATCTAGTACAGAACGGGAATAGTAATTTTGGGTTGCAATGCATCCCTTTAGCCAGAGGCATTATGCAAATGTGAATTGTTTCGATTTGAATATTGTGTGTATGGAATTTCAATGGCAGGAGATAATTTGATGCTGCAGAAAGGCGGCATCAATGCCATCAATAGATTTATGGTTTCTAAACTCCAGACATAATCAAAACACACAAGCAAAATTGCTTACACAGAGTAACGGAATGACTATGCTCTGGGTACTCAGGGGTCGTGCAACCCTCAGAGTTGAATTGAGTTTAGCATAAGAAAAGGAGCTCGAGAATCTCGGCTCTCGATTCTCGGTTCTCGAGTCCTTGCGTGTGAAGCCGGCTTGTGCGGGCAAAATGTAACCCTAGCATTTAGTCGCCATTCAGCGATTCTTTGGATAAACTATTTATGAAATTATTACACAATGCGCACAATATATTGAGTGGGGTGCTGCGATTAGCCCAGTTCGCCTCGGTATAGACAGTTAAAAGAGAAAGGCACAAGAGGAGAGGTGTGTATGTTTTTCCCATAACTTCTTGTTGGCTGTGTGCGCCTTTTTGTTGCCATTCAGCGATTCATATTCCTATTCTTTACCAACTGTTTTTTTTTTGCATATATTGGTTTCGCTATCATCTTTGTTCTCTATTTGTATCTGTGCCATTCAACTCTTTGTGGGACTCTAATAAGGTGCGATATTGTGAAATTTGATGCGATTTTTCTCTATTATGGGATTGAAATATTCGAACCCTTATTTTTGCACACTTTTGTCTGCCTCGGTTGCACCTTATACAATGGGTGTAATTGCTGAGGTTTTTTCGGTTTGTGGCGTTGTTTGCGCAGAACTTCCCTTGTATTTATTGTTAGAGGGCCACTGATTAGCGATCGGATTGATATGTTATTCGTGTCTATCAATGTCATATTGCGAAATTTGTGGACTTTTAATTAGATGCTTGATGAGAGTTTGCATTGATTAGCAAAAGGTTCTCGATGATCTTCTAATATCCAATAGAACCCGACGTAAATCCCAAATGGAATTAGAAAAGAGAGAATAAATGCCA